TAAGGTTTTAGAATGGGGGGGGAAAGAAAACCCACACACGAATGTAGAATAAATTCCTGTAACAACACAAAAGATGCGCCTGCCACAGACTATGCAGCAAACTTATTGTTAGAGGAAATGCAGAAATAGTTCATCCTATGGGAACTTTCTGAAAGGCCCCAAAGCCTCTTTACATTTTTTAACAAGCCCATTTTCTAAGTTGGTGCATGTTTATTTCAAGTGTTTGGTAGCAGGGCACTATGCAAATGTAACATTTTTCTATTTTCCTCCTGCCGCCTACACACTCTGGCAGAAAAACAAAGCAGAATGAACAGCAAGGCAAAGAAATTATTTTAAATTGTTCTTTAGTGGACCTTTTCTTTGAAAACTAAAATTGATCACGAAATGATCAACAATGCACCCTTCTTAAAGAGAAATTAAGCGATGTCTCATCTCTCCTTTGAAAAGGCAACATGCTGCTACTGCTAAAACAATGGTACTAGCAAGAAAAGATTTGAAGCAAAAGATGACAAGGTGCTCTGATACAAGAACATGAAACATTTCCAGCACATGGCAGTGCTGCTGGGTTTTCCTAGCGGAATACCATCTGCACCAGTCAAATTAAATTTCCGAGAGATTTTACATCCCTGTAGTTTTGACAGATTTTGCATGGGAAATTTCAGCCTACCTCCCTTCCCCTTGACATAGATATACAGGCCTGCTGTGTTACATAGTCACCTCTTCCACCAAAAGGAAGGAAGAGATTTTTGGGCAAGTTTGCTACTCTTTAGATTCAGAAAGCCTCAAGAGATTCCAAAAGCCAGAAAAGGTAAAATCTTCCCCAACCAAACCAAGAGCAAAATATTAAATGGGTTATTCAAACGAAAGGGTGAAATATTTTTAGACGGCCATTCCCCCTTCTTATACCAAATAGTACAGGGAATCTAGTTCAAATAGGATCATTGGAATTGCCCATGGGTACCGAAATGCAAATAAAGTACACACCCAAATATATGTCGATACTTTAACATACAGTGGCCAGGTTTGCTTGTCAGGGGAACCATAGATCAGATATCTTAAACTTTTTTAGACTCCAGGCCCATTTTTAACCGAAACATACATTTGGGGACCAATTTCTTAATCTTGCACCATGTTGGTAGCTGTGGTTGTCACCCACCTAGGATTAAACTTCAACCCACTAGTGGGTCTCACCCTATGAGTTGAAGGCCAGCTCACTGTGAACATGCCGAACTAGACTGTTTTGCTCCTTTCTCACACAATGGAGAGAAACAAGTCACAAGCCCTGGCATAACACTCTATCAAAGCCTTTACCAGTAACACCCTAATTGTAGTTTTTTCAGAGGGAAGCAAACCACAATGCCATTTCAGACATAACTGTAGGCCTGCAAGCTGGTAGGGTAGAACAGAGTGAAGTAGGAATGATTGGCTACTGCATGATAAACCATAATTTATGGCTTACTGTGATACATGAACAAAGTCAACAGTCCATAATCTATTCATCTTATACAGTGTTTCTCAAACTTGGTTCCTCAGCTGTTGTTGGACTACAACTCCCATCATTCCCACCACTGGTCCCGCTAGCTAGGGATGACGGGAGTTGTGGTCCAACAACAGCTGGGACCCAAGTATACGAAACACTGAGAAGGACTTCAGTGTAAGCCCACTGAGTTCTAAGCTGGCTAACAAATAAATACTTCCTAGGGGCACCAACTATAAGGGGCTCTGGGTGCCTGAGTGGCCAACAAAAATGTTGTTGTAGGTGCTCAGCACCCACACTACAGGGCCTCCACACAACTTCAGAGGTCTTGCAAGGCCTCGGAAAGCATCTCTGAGGCCTCATGAGACCTAGGAGATGCTTTTTGAGGTCTTAGAACCTGTGGGTCACACCTTTGACCTCTGACATAGTTAACAAGCTTAATTTATTTCTTCACTGAATCCATAAAGTGCTTATGTCTGCAATAATGTCAGTTTTGGACAGTCCCATGCTGCATTATTAAATACATATAATCTGCCACATTACAGTTCCTCTCACAGCAGTACATCTATTTCTAGAGAAGCCTGGAGCCCATGTATGTCCATGCATATAACTTGGCATATAACTGGGGTGGATACAGATTTAGACATGCATAGAGATGACCCATTCAGATCACTAGATCTTAAGTTATTTACTGCTAGCTTAAGTTGCATTGATTGCAATATGTATACTCTAAATGTGACTAAGTCTGGATCCAACCTATTTGTTGCTGAATCAAACCAAGCCAGAAAGTAATGCAATCTGTTTTCAACGTTGCTGCTGTAAAGGCAGCTGATACTAGCCTTCCACAACATCTTCTAGGTATCAAACCATGCTCTGAAAGCCGTAACAGGTTAGTTGGCACGGTAATTAAGAGCATTTATCTTTATCCATAGCATTTATGGCAGCTTAAGATGTGCTGAATATAACAGCAAAGTCTATTAAGTATTTCAGAAAGAGGCAGCTATAATGCAAGAGGTGTAATATTGCAACGACTTGAGGTCAATGACAACATTTCCATTTACTTGTGACAATCAAGCCAAGAACCAGATCTTAAATCCTGATGGAGAAAATCCCTGGGATATCTACTACAGGCATGTAAGCCGATGGTATATCTTACATTGATTTCAGTGCAAGCAGGTTCAGCATCCGCCTTTGCTTCTCCTTGGCAACCAGAGATAAAGATACACTGCCATCTGGGAGAAATCCCAACGTGGAGGAAAACTGAGAAATTACGTTATTGGGATATGAGTGAGGACAGTGTCTGGATAACCTATGCCATGAAAATGAACATGAAGCTGAAGAAAATAAAAATAAACTAAAAATACCGCAGGGCCCACGAACCTCTGTTCATTAAATGGAAATTAAATGCACAAGTTTTTCAAATAGAAAATGCAGACAGCTGTTCTGGTGACCAGTCCCTGTTGTCTCCCCAAGTGACAATATGTCAGCAGTCCCTTTAAAGCAGCATTTCCCACAAGACTGCCTACTCTTTTAACACCGGAAGTGGAAAGGATAGAACACAAAGAGAAGCCAATATTATAACAGAATAACAAACAATTGATAACAAAAACAATAGTGTAAATACACCTTAAAACATACAGGTCTCAGTTGTGTCCATCTACAGAACATTTTTTTAAAAATCACAACCATGTTGCCAGTATGCCTCCACCAGCACAGATAATCTTCCAAACTTTACATTGGAAGATATTTGTGAGTTACCAAAATCTGATATACAGTACTTGTGTATACAGACTGATAATACTTTTATCTTTTTAAAAAAACTACAATACACTTACACCAGAGACCTGTATGTTTTACAAATTAACAACTGAGATTTGAAATAAATAGCTGTAATTTTTTTTGTTATTCCTTTGGTAAAGGCAATAAATAGGGCACAGTGATTTTTAAATTTATTTTTTTTTTGCTTGTGACCTATCTTTCCAACACAATGCCTGGGTTCATTTTTGTACATGTCATAGATGTTCTTTAAATAATGTTTCCCATGAAAACATGACTGATTTGACTGAAGTGTCCATAACACGGGCAACACCTGCATGATACAAGGATCTGTTTCATCATTAGATCACATGTATGGCACTCAATATTTATAGGCATGGCTTCTTGTCACACCAAACTATTGCTGTTCAGAAATGTCTGCCTACAGAGGAAAATTCCAAAGCCAGCATAGGTTTATTTATTGCATAAGCCCTAATCTGAGGATTTAAGCGTCCTTTAACTTTCATGCTTGACTTTTGTCGGGTTCTAAAGAGTTGGGGGAGGGACGCAGGTGGCGCTGTGGGTTAAAGCCTCAGCGCCTAGGACTTGCCGATCGAAAGGTCGGCGGTTCGAATCCCTGCGGCGGGGTGCGCTCCTGTCGTTCGGTCCCAGCGCCTGCCAACCTAGCAGTTCGAAAGCACCTTCGGGTGCAAGTAGATAAATAGGGACCGCTTTCTAGCGGGAAGGTAAACGGTGTTCCGTGTGCTGCCCTGGCTTGCCAGAGCAGCGATGTCACGCTGGCCACGTGACCCGGAAGTGTCTGCGGACAGCACTGGCTCCCGGCCTATAGAGTGAGATGAGCGCACAACCCTAGAGTCTGGCAAGACTGGCCCGTATGGGCAGGGGTACCTTTACCTTTACCTTAAAGAGTTGGGGGAGTGAGAGGCAATGGGAGGTGCTTATGTGTCAAACCATGTCCTGTTGTACCCAGTTTTTTTTAAAAGCAAAGGAGAGTTTTAATAGTTGCTAACAGCTGCCCTTTGTAGTAAGCAGGGTGGCTATTTGTGCAACTGGTAGCAAGCTGTAAAGGTCTCCCATGCTAGCATAGAGTGAGTCTTTTAAAAGAGGATACAGAGTACACATGTACTCTGTATCCACAGGTCCTCTTTTAAAGGACTCACCCTGTATAAGATAAATTAGGACCAGTAATTAAGCAAGCATGGATGGGGAAGCTGCAAGCCTCCAGATGTTTCTGGGCTATAACACCCATCATCCCTGGCCACACTGACTGGGGTTTTGGGAACTCCAATAACATCTGTAGGGCTACAGGTTCCCCATCTCTATCTAAAATATATTTGATTCTTATTGGTAGCATCATTTCCAACATCCTACCTCCTCTCTGCATATGATGAAGCCCAACTACCTAAGTGCAGGCAGTAACTTAATTTGTAACTTTAAAGTTGCAAGATCAAGACCCAAATTAACATAAAAAATGAGCGCTCAGAAAGATAAGCCCTTCAGAAACAAATACACAAAAAGCCTAAAGACACCAATGGTTCATTTCAAAGGAACCTAATTTCATTGTCTTGTTTCATTATCTGTAAAATTAATGGGGGGACAAAAGATCAAACAACTCTGTTACATGGCAATATGTACATTTTCTTTGCAGTGGTGAGCCCATTTATCAACCTGACAAGTATTCCTTAATGAAATGGCCTTACATGTGATCACTGTTCAATAAGAAAAACAAGGGAATTTTTTACCACAATACCCCCAAAACCTCTGAAGATTCAGTCAGACCCCCAGGATTAGCTTTGGAGTTCAATACCCAGGTTAAAACATGTCAGAGATGTGGATTTTCTCCAGGTGCCCCATAGTCTATGAATTTCTAGTGACTCTACTTCATGTTGCTTTAAAAGCTCTCATTCATCTCTCAAAGATTGCAACCCCATCATTCTCTTCAGTCCAACACGCCAAATAAAACTAGTTTCAATAATAAGTATGATGTGCTTCTCCTTGCTGAGTGCATTGACTTAAGGCATAGGCACAAGTCTCCCTCTTTGAACAGAGATGGTGTATAGTCCTGTGTCCCAATACAATGGTTATCCTGGGTGACCCCCTTGGATTTAAGTACCAGGTAAAAAATAATAATATTAATGACAGGAGCCATTCAGTTAGGTTTGAAGTCTAACAGTGTCACTAAAGGTTGCAGTCTTAAACAAACTTACTATGAAATAAGCCTCATTGAATACCTGGGGACTTACTTCTGTGTAAACATACCTAAGAGTGCATACCTAAGAGTGTAAATATATTATAATTTCACCTTCCACCAAAAGTGCACTTCACTGGTGTCTTCAAGCCTTATTTACCGCTAACCTGAAGCACCTAAGTACAATATTTAGTAATGGCTTAATCCAAGCATCATTGAAATGAGTGGGTGTGTCTTCCAAACTGACTTCATCAGTCTTGCTATCAAGTTCTTAGTGCTCTCTAGCCCAGAAAAAAATTCAAGGAAATGACCTAAATGAAGATATAACATGGTTGCTATAATTGTAGTTGTTACTTAAACTTAGGGTTTTGTATAGGTTCCAATATATTTGTATGCTTTTGTTTTATAAATTACATAAATGTATGTGGGAGTTATTTATGAAACCATTTTTCATAAATTGTGTGCCCTTCTCTTGATACATCTGATTTGTGATGCTGTTAATATTTCCACTTCATAGAGGATTCCTTTAGAGAAAACAATGTCCTGTGGTAAAACGTATTGTAGCACAAGTTTTTTTGTGCCACAAAAAAACTTGTTAATCTTTAAGTGCCACAGGACTCTTTGTTGCTGTTGCTACAACAGACCAACATTACCACCCTTTCCCTAGTTCCTGTAGGGAAGTGTGCCTTGGGTTCAGCTTTGAAGGGAACTCACTGTACTGCTTTTCAGTGAACTGACTGTGTCATAACCAATGCAAACCACTAAAAAACTTCTTCAAAATAAGCATCTCTGATAGTGCAACTGTCAAAAAAATAAAATAAAAAGACATTGACTATCTATGGCTCGCCCCACAACATTTTATACCATTAATTTAGTTAACTTGTTTTTAAAAATTCACATTTATATACCACCTTTCTAGCCAAAGGGCCCCAAAGACATGGACCCTTTACTTTGCCAAGTTCCATCAGATATATTCCCATTCAGTACTGTAATAATAAAAAAGCATTTCCAGAAACTAAGGAATGCTTTTGTTTTCAGAAACTGAAATGTTGACAGCAAAGGGCGAACCAGACACCTGTCAGTTGTCTTCTTCCTGTATTTTTGTATGTAAGGTGGCCATCTTTCCTTTTAATCAGAAACAGATTGCTTTGTGCTGACATTAATAGTTTCTCTGCACTTTCTGTACTATTTTTAAAAAATGTTTTGCTGTGGGTCACATGGACATCCCATCCCATGCTACTTGCACAATCTATTCTAGTTCCCTGGTCATCTGCACTGTAGACAGTAATGGTCCTGAGAGCAGCATGTTTGGAATAGTTGAAAGCTGAACATTATTAATACAAGGTTCTCCTTTGCTGAATCATTTTCTTCCTTCCATGGGAGCAATTTTTCCTACTCCTGCTGAAATGGGAGAGCAATTGCTTTTTCCTGAAGATGCACCCATGAGATGGGTCATGCGCTCTCTGTGCATGGGCTACAGAGGCAGAAATGCCAGGACACATCTCAGGCAAATGTGTGAGAATATATCCTAGTGCTCCTTTTCATGATTACAACCACATGCTTGTCCATCTGGCCTTTAGCCCTCATAAACAATATCTTGAATGGGTTTACAGCTTATCATAAAATGGCTTGCAACTCTTAACTCCTCCACTGATATGACTCAGTTATTTGGTTCCTGGATGTGCTATCTGTGTTATCTTTGTGTTGTCCTCGCAGCTCTGCCTCCCACCTATAGGCACTGAGGAATCCTCTTAAGCCAGATGTACTTATGAACAGTGCTCCATGTGATTGGAAGTCCCAGTAACACAGGGATACTGGTTGTGTGGAGGACTCTCCACAAGCACTGCCAGCTTTCCATTCACGCTATCACATGGAGGTTGGGAGCAGAGCCAGGAAGATGGGCACAACGTCAAGGGCACTCAATCACACGGAGGCCCTTTAAATGCATTGAATCCCTTCACCCAGATAAAATGTGAAGGAGCCTTTTTATGTCATTGAGGTGGCTGCTATCAGCCCTAGGATTATGGAGAGTGCTGCAGAACACCACTCTTGCAATATTTGCTTCTAATTAAAAATGAACAGTGTGTAATTTAACCACAGGTGTCTTGGAGCACCCTAAGCAGTAGGTAATTTTGTCATCATATCTGATGGATTTTCATGGCAGGATAATAATCAGAGATGCTTGTCTCATCATGCAGTCTTTAACCGGGCCGTTTATTCTTTGCTTTGAAGTGACTGTAAATAACAAGAGAATCTCATTTCTACATACCAAAACCGTGGTTCTCAAAGTGGAAGGGGGTGACATCCCCTAAGGAGGGGAAGGCAGCAGTTAAACAATTGTGATATCCTACTGTCTGAACATTTCTGAGCCTTTTATGGGTTATGAAGTGAGGTACCAATGCAACTCACCTCCTCACAGTTCCTCCTGGGTATTAAACTGATTGATAATTCTTATGAACATTTTTTGTTTGGTTCCTTGCCTTTTGATGTTTCTACTTTCAGGCCTAGGTTGAGAAGGAATGGTACAAGCTGAGCTGCCTTTTTTCAGGTGGGGGTGTGTCTTTATCTTAGGGTTATTTCACACATGACATTGTACCTACACAAGTGTACATGGAGTAGAAAAGACATAGGAACCTTGTGTACATCATCATGTGTGAAGATCACATACCAGTCTAGTTTTCATAGACACAATGGAATGCCATAATTGCAGAGCCAAGTATCTGTACATGTGGCAGATCAAACATGGGTGCAGTCTTGTTAAACGACATATTTCCCCCCCCCCTATTTCCATGCAGGTAAAATGTCATGTGTAAGGTACAACTAAATTTGGAAAGGCTTGAAAGCATTTTCTTGACTGATAGAGGCTTGCTATGACACAATTTGAATACTCCTGGAACGATCTGGATCCAATTTGCACATTTTCAAATTTTGATGTGGGAGCAATAAATGCTACACAAAGAGGGTCACCCTGGAATTTCTTGTACTGAAACTTCATTTTACACAAAGGATATATATATTTATTTATATCTATATATATCTATATATTTATATATTCACACGCACACACACGCACACGCACACAAAAGTCTTTGATAGGCTTTCTGTGTTCTAGTAAAAATAGTTGGCAGCTGCTATCTGGGAGGCCAAAAAAGGCCTTTGTGCTGCCAGCTATGCCTGTCACAAACAGTCTCTCTCAAAGGCAGACACTTGTCTTTATCTGGCAGGTGGAACTACTTCCTGCTTGAGACAGGAATAACCTCCCGTTGGGACACACACAAAGCTCGTAGATTTTTTGCCTGGATCCGGTAGAGGAGAAGGATCCCAGAGGCAATCTAGGTAGTTTGATATTTGCAGCCTCCAACGTTATCTGCAGAGGAAGAGAGAAAATAAATTAGCATTGAAATGGATTTGTCGGCCCTTCGATTTAAAACGTTCAGTGGGAATTGACTGAAGTTCGCTCTATAACACACACATACACACGCCTGCTTATTTTTTACACGAATAAAGTCAGCTAGATCTATAGTATAATCTTGTATATCTGGATGCTATGTAAAAGTTACATATAGTATTGGTCTGCCACTCACTATTCGTGCTCCATATAAATCTTGCATTCACCAATTCATGTGTAGATACAGACAGAACTTATTGTTCCCGTTTCTACTGTCTGGCAAATGAGTAAAGTGCTGCATCATTCTCTATTCCAATGAATGCAGGAATAGTGGATAGGACATAGGATTCACATTTACCAGACACTAGCAATTATTTCCCAGAGCTAGTTTAAGTTTTGTGCACCTCTTGCATTTTGTTGTGTTTGCTGGATAATTAGGTAAAGGTAAAGGACCCCTGGATGTTTAAGTCCGGTCTAAGGCGACTATGGGGTTGCGGTGCTGATCTTGCTTTCAGGCCGAGGGAGCCGGTGTTTGTCCACAGACAGTTTTCTGGGTCATGTGGCCAGCATGACTAAACCGCTACTGGCGCACGGAGGACCTTGATGAGTGCCAGAGCGCACAGAAATGCCGTTTACCTTTCCGCCGCAGCGGTACCTATTTATCTACTTGCACTGGTGTGCTTTCAAACTGCTAGGTTGGCAGGAGCTGGGACAGAGCAATGGGAGCTCACCCCGTTGTGGGGTTTCGAACCGCCGACCTTCCGATCGGCAAGCCCAAGAGGCCCAGTGGTTTAGACCACAGCGCCACCTGCACCACGCTGGATAATTAATAAAATGCCAGTACACTAAAAGGACAGCTGTAGAGCATACTTATTATATTCATGTTAAATTTCAGAAACATTAAAAAAATAAATCAGAAATTAGTTTGGAAGTTAAGCTTCCCAGAACTAGAGAACTGAGCCACTTTTGGTACCTCTGTTTGCTTTTTGGCTGAGGGACTCTCTGAATATTTGTAGACTGCGCCCATATCTCCACTCACCCCTGAATATTTACAGCTACCTCCCACACATTTGGAAATAAAATGAATGGCATCTAGGCCAGAAGGAACATTCTTTAATAAGTTTCATTTCTCAAATTAAGCATCAAGAGCCACATGTGTTGTTTTCTCTGAAAGTTATCTCTGAGCTGTAAAGTGGGAATCAAGCATTCTACCTTTTGCAGAACAAGAAAACAAAAATTTAAAATAATGTTCATTTCACATGATAAGTTCTTAAATAGCAGATTTACAAATAAGTCCCTTAATGAACAATACTCTGAGATACTTTGGGGACAACGATTGAACTATAATCCCAGACTCTTTAAGCATCTTCAACAGCGGAAAGGTTTGTTCTGACATATTCCTTTCCTTCAAATAGGAAAGTGATGCTCAGCTTTACAAATCAATACAGGTGAGTTAAGTGCTCCTCATTGGAAAAATGCATGATATAAGATTTAATTATGCTAGTCAAGTAAATCTCACTTTAAAGTGACAAGGAAGAAGAGAATTTAGTAGTACTGCACATTTTTACAGCTGCATAAATCTGTTTCACACAACCAATGCTATTATCCCAGCACTTTAAAACTAATGAATCACCTCGCCATTCTGTATAGAAGGAATGTAGTCTGCATACAATGAGTTCTGTCATTCCTACAAGGAGCTCTAACACACATGCTAAACCTACCACTTCTTTTTAGCTGCAGTGCTAAATAGAATTGCTTAAGTGAACACCGTCATCCCATTTTTTAAACCTACAAACTACCTGAAGGTACTGCACACTGTACAACAATCATTAAAAATAAAAGGCCCTCATGGAAGGCCCAGATTCTTCACTTGGAGATTTACTTAGCGTTCTACCTACCTCTCCATCTTTGGATTCCAGCTTGAGCTCTGTCCTACATGTAGCTTCCAAGTTGCCAGCTTCTGCATTAATTTCAACTCCCTTGGGAGCCTCCATCACCAGAAAGCGTGTTGGTGACTCAAGTCTGAAACATCAAGAAGGGTTCATATTACTTCCTTTATTTATTTCTCCTGGAAACTTGTTTGTAATAGAGAACTATATGTATTCCTTGAATTTAATAGGCTCCATTACGACCTGATGCTAAGATGCTAAAGAGCATGCCCACTAAACCATATTTTGATGTGGTTGCATTTCACACCTCTCTAACAACGAATCTGTGACTAAGTCCTATCTTTATAGAGTGCACGTCTGTCACATTAACATGATCTAGTGTTTGGTTTGTATCAGATTACAGTACATTTCGTTCATGTTACTGTTCTGTAAGAAGGCATGTGGCATTCTGAACACCAGTTTGCATCAGTTTAGAAGGGGGTATTTTAAAGGTCTAACAGTTTATATTTCCACATTTTACTTTGCTGCATATTTTGTGATTTTAAATCTCTGCTGGAGTTCTCGCACCAAAGAGTTCTTGCCCCAAACTAGATCCTGGCATCCAGGAAATTCTCCTTTTTTATTATACCTAGCATTTTATCTTTTAACCAAAATGCAAATAGAAAAACAAACAGCAAACAACAAACCCAGACTAGAGTAGTAGTTTCAGACTAGAACCTCCCCCATTTTAGCTCTAACCTCCGTCCTTTATACTACATATGTATACTGCATTTTTCTATAATTCACCATTTTCTTTCCCCTACTCTCTTAACGTCTACGTCTTTCTTCTCCTCTCTTTTTCCTTTTCTTAAAAAAATGAAAGGGAAAATTGCAGTGATGCTACTGGGTGATCTAAACTGGGTTGGTGTACAACCCAACTTTGAATCCTGATCCACCAAACAAATATCAAAGCATATTCATTGTTTATCTGCCTGTCTTACTGTTTCATGACGAGTCTTAACAGCAGTGCAAAAAGTTCTGCTTAACTTCCCAGAATCTTTAAAATTCATGTTTAGGACATTGCAGTCTTAAATCAAAACAGCCAGTGGCAACTATGTACCTCCTTAGGAAGTGCCTTCAGATTATCACTGAAGCTCTGCAGAAGTAGTCATCAACAAAAAAGCAAAACTTTATTTTTCCTAGCTTGTTTGAAAACTTGCAGTGTAATTTATTGGAGGTCAGCATATCAGTATGTTCTGTAGTTTCAGAGGAATTCATTCTGTTGGAGCAGTCATTACTTATCCAGATTTCTAGTTTTCATTTCCTGCATCATACACAACCTCATTAATCACTCCAAAACGAGGACAGCAAAGATCATATTTTCTGCATTACATCTGCCTCCAGCAGCACAGACTATGGTGCTTCCTTTGCTTTCCTAAGTAGATAGGAAATAAATATTTTCAAATATTCAACACATCCCAAACGTTTAAATTTTGCCCATTTTTAAATTTAAGGACAGATTTTGAAGCAAAATTTGAACTCATATTTTCAATGTGAAAATAATTCTTAGCTGAAAGTTCAGCTATGTTAGACATACTGATATATCTTGATTTTTTTTTTTTAAATGGGCTTCTAATATGAAATATTATAACCTGCTGACTCTTAAAGGTAAAGGTAAAGGTACCCCTGCCTGTACGGGCCAGTCTTGCCAGACTCTAGGGTTGTGCGCTCATCTCACTCTATAGGCCGGGAGCCAGCGCTGTCTGCAGACACTTCCGGGTCACGTGGCCAGCGTGACAAGCTGCATCTGGCGAGCCAGCGCAGCACACGGAACGCCGTTTACCTTCCCGCTGGTAAGCGGTCCCTATTTATCTACTTGCACCCGAAGGTGCTTTCGAACTGCTAGGTTGGCAGGCGCTGGGACCGAACGACGGGAGCGCACCCCGCTGCGGGGATTCGAACCGCCGACCTTTCGATCGGCAAGTCCTAGGCGCTGAGGCTTTAACCCACAGCGCCACCCGCGTCCCCATTGCTGACTCTTAAATACTAGTAATTCCCACTGTATGTGATCTATCAGATCTTATAAAATGCCATTATATGTCAACTATCAAATACTATTACACAACAACCATCAAATATTGTCCAGTATTATTATCATTTTCCTTTGGGGGGGGGAATAATGGGTTATTTGAAAACTTTACCAGGGGTTCCTTGATAAGAGACTAGCTCCCCTACTTCTGCTGATCTTCTTTTGCAATTTGCAAACATAGAGGAATACTGGGTGTGTTCAGGTGAGTCTCAGTTCACTATGGACAATGGTGAGGCCCAACCCTGCAGACATAAGCACTCATAAGCACTTATTGATTCCATGGCAGGGTGGCATTGGCAAGGCAAGCTGCACTGAGGAATGGCTGTAATCAACTGGCAGAGCAAATGATCTGCCTTCAGAAAGTCCCTACTTGAAGCCGTGGTACCTCAATATACTGCGGGAAAGACTCCTGTCTAAAATCCCAGATGGACCAATGCCAGTCAGTGCAGGTAAGTAAGGAACTAGATGGACCAGCGATCAAATATCAGTATATCAGATAAAAGGCAGGCAGGCTGCTATCAGACTAGGCATATCCAGACAACTTGTTGCTGGCAAGAATCTATTTTACACAGTGAGGTGAAGAGACTTGGTAACAGGAAAGGAATGGCAATGCCTTTTCCCAGTTTTAAAACAGCTCTGCTTCACTGGCTTTCCATTTGCTTATGAGTAGAATTCAAAGTGCTGTATTCACTCCTATGCAGTCTGAGATTCAGGGCTGCCGCCTTCTATATGCTATGCTATGTGTTAAGATCTGCTTCAAAGGCCCTTCTCTGGGCCCCATCACCATATAAAACCAAACTGGTGGCAATTGGTGAAAGGAACTTTTCAGTGATGGTACCCTAACTGTTTAATTCTCTTTCCTGGGATACTCATGGGGGCATTTAGCTTCATAGGTTTTAGATGCCAGACTAAGACTTATTTTTTATTTAGCCAGGCATTCAACCAGTTTTAGGGTTGCTGTTCTATGCTATTTTTTAGGGGTTCTGGTTTTTTGGTTTTTTGTTTCAACGTTTTTTGGAAATCCATATTTAAAAGTGAGATAGCATTTTAAAAATTAAATATTGGAGTATACTTTGAAAGAGAGACCATTAACCTCTCAAATGTCTAATGTTCTTAATGAACTATAGTAGATGATGGGCTGTACCTGAATAAGTTAGAGTAGACCTATTGGAATTAATTGACAAGTTATTCATGTCTATTAATTCCATGGGTGCACTTTGATACGAACATTGGATATGACCATATGTATTGCTATTCATGGAGCTTTCTATTTCACATCTCCTTCATTATTCCATAAAGAGCATTCTTTAATCTAAACTGCTCATCAGCTTATGCCTATAGGAATATTATTGTCTGTCTATCTATCCAGCTATCATCTGTCTGTCTATCATCTCTCTCTCTCTCTCTCTCTCTCTCTCTCTCTCTCTCTCTCCATCCAGGCAGACTTTGCATTGAACTTGAACTATGCATTGCAGCAACTCTGTTATTATTTGAACTATGCATTGCAGCAACTCTGTTATTATTTCTTCTGTGTTTAATTATTTCTGATGGCACTATAATATTTCACGTTGGGCAGAAAATTAGCCACATCATCAACTATGTTGCACCTTAATTAGTAAATAACTACGTCAAACAGTCTACAGCCAAATCAATTTGCAGACAACTAACTACTATCTTAGGTTGGGAATGTGATCTTTGTTTTGTTAAAATCAATGGGCTTCCTATCCAGACTGACATGCCTATGTGATTCTGATATTTATGTGTCATCTTCCAAAGAACCAATTATCTCCTCCAGTCCCATTCAAAGGAAGATGCAACAATTTTGCCTATTGATCAAAAGTTAATTAACCAACATGCCTTTGGCTTGAAGATGTTATAGTCATAAATACATTTTCATTCTGATATTTGGACCTCACTGTTTGATTACTATGGAGTGATAACATGTCTGTAATAGGAAATACATATTCTGACTGGAAAGGTTTTGTTTGAGATGCAGAGATGATGGGAAGTTTTGCTTCATAGTTCATAGTTGATGCTTCAGTTAACTCTTGCATCCAGGGGTGGGTCTGTTGGCTCAACCACCCCTGAGCCATGATGGCAAATAGAACTGTGGGATCACAATTTTTAGTCTTTTGGTTTTTTATTGTTGTTTTTAATTGGTTTTAATGAAAATCATTTTGAGTTGTGTTGTAAGAAAAGCAACTAGCAAATATGATAAACAATCATCAATCCAAGGTCTCATGGTGAGAACTGCCAAAAGCCATCTCTGAATCTGAAATAGTTCAGTGATGTTCAGCTCCACTGCATCCTTTCAAATGCTACAAAAACAAAATCCAGAAGTGGAGTGGTCTTAGGAACTGTAGAACAAAAGGTTAGGAATTAATTGCCCATCATGCCTGTTTTTAAGCAGCAACTTTAGTTTGCTTTGCATCCTCATTGTTGTATGCATTCATACCCCACACACATCATATGCTTTAAAAAGTCACAGAAATGGAAGGATCAATCTCCTACATGTAAGAGGAAGAACCAACAATGCGACATACCTTAACAGTGCTAAACACACATAAGGATGAAACATTGTTCCCACAAACATTCTTGGTGGTTTTTTTTTGGGGGGGGGGGAGGAAGGGAAGGAAAGGAGTCATATTCACTCTTTCCCCCTGAATGTTCTTGAGATGATGCCATGCCATTCTACAGTACTTCCATAGGGATATTCAGTCTCACATTGGAAGGGAATGTCACTGGGTATTGAGGTCAGCTTCCTACTACCTGAAGCAGTTTCAAAGTTGTTGGTTTTTTGGATTTGATATCCTGACTTTCACTCCCCTTCAGGAGTCTCAAAGCGGCTAACAATCTCCTTTTGCTTCCTCCCCCACAACAAACACTCAGTGAAGTGAGTGAGGCTGAGAGACTTCAGAGAAGTGTGACTGGCCCAAGGTCACCCAGCAGCTGCATGTGGAGGAGCGGGGAAGCGAACCCGGTTCACCAGATTACAAGACTACCGCTCTTAACCACTACACCACACTGAAAGAAATCTTCAGTATCTTATCATGAATGGTAAGCTC